ATTTTTTCACAGATCTACATGCCCCAGTGTCTAGTTTCAGAAACTGAAACCGCAGGTCTCTAGATCTTTTCGTTCCCGAGTTATAAGCGTTTTGTTCACTCATCTTCTATTTTGAAATGGATAGTAGATAAATTTATTTAAGGCAATAAAGACAGTATTTATCGCAATATTCTTCTGTATCCCGATGCGTGGCAAATAAATTATTTCCTCATATTTTTTCAGCGTTAGAGAGATACAATTCAGCGATAACAGTGCCAAGCGTTGTGACGGAGCACAGATTTTTATAAGAATCTGTTCATTTTACAAGTCAGCTCATTTTGTTCAAAAGTTGTGCTATACTCGAGTACTGGCAAACTAATAATAAAGAATTACAAATGTCTCAAAAAGCATGTAATGATATTCATTTAACTGAACTAGATGCCATTTCAACGATTTCTCATCCAAACTTAGCGGTACCACAACAATAACGAGAAAATCAATTTTCATCATCATCTTGTATTGCTGCATGCAGATGTACAACAATCTTGGTTCTTTCGATTTTGTCGCTTTTATCAGCCTTTCCAATATCAATGTTAGCTATTGGTTTAACTTATAGTAATCAATGTCCAATTCAACCACTAATTCCTATTTATTTAACAGTGAGTGGGTGAGCTGTCAGTTTATTACAAGATTGTATGCGATTGTGGTTGTTATTGTATCGCTACTATACCATTGTTCGCTCAAAGTAGAGCGGAAAGTGGCTTCGCTTAGAATGACAGAATATATGGATACTTTCCGTATTTTCGGTTTAATAATAGTTATTTTTAGTATGTTGATGAAGTGCCATTCAGCAATGGACAGTAGTCACAAAAGTTCCGTCGTGGCAGTAAAGCATATTGTAGCAACATTATTTGGCTTGTTTACAGTGAGTTGGCTAATTTGTGGTTCGATTTGGACATTTGGTGTGCGATCAACGGTTAATTATCAAAATCCAGCAAGTTTAAACTATTGTCATAAAACATTATACGAATTCACATATGCAATGTTAATATTTTGGTGCGTAGTAATTGGTCTGTCATGTTGTTGTTCAGGTTTATACCACAAACAGGAAAGGTATTCTGACGCATGAAGAAACGGCAATGAAGATATTAGATTTTTTGTCAAGTTTAGCTACAATTTGCTGGAGACGGTAATACTAGTGGCATCAACAATTCGAATATTGTGAAATGGTTTTACGAACAGTTTTTTTATTTGTAATAACTATACAATCCTGTGCTAAATTACAGAATGTTATCTGCGAATCTAGTTCTGTTACAGGTTTCTGTTTAGTTTATATTACAATAATCTCACTCGTTTGCTGCTGCGTCATTAGTGTGGACAAAATGTCTGAAGATGAATTGACGAATCGCAATTTTTGGGCGTAAAAATGATGCAACAATTCGCATTTTACCATTGTTTTGCGAATTCGTAGCGAATTCGTAAATCGAATTGGTCGACCATCGAGGAATTCGTGAAATGATCATTTTGGTCCCCAAGAATTCGTGTACGAATTCGTAAATTGGCAAAAATACGATAAAATGCGAATTTACGAATTTCATTTACGAATTCATAGATGCCAAAGCATAACCGACGAATTCATAAATAGAATTCGTAAAATACGAATTGATGTTAGAGACAGGACACTTTTCTCTGAGTGCACTTTTTCTGAGGCAGTGAGGATGGCTGTGAGTATTTACACAATATGCCTTATTTTACGAATTCGTAAGAATAACAGCGAATTGGTATGAGAAGTATGCGAATGGATGAGAAGAGACGAATCTATCTATTTTTAATCTCAGAGAAAAGTGTCCTGTCCCTACGTAGCCTATTAAGCGTACACACCGATTCGCAATGAGTTTGTAGAATGGGTTTGCCAATTCGTGGATCCATTTTCGACCGGATCAGTTCCTAATACGAATTTGCTAATCCGTATTTACGAATCAATCTAGTTCCAAAAACAGTGAACACGAATTTGTAAACTAATTTTACGAATTATTTGCGAATTGATCAGCATCGTGTTTGATCTATTCTCTGTTTACGAATTCGCAAGAAGAATTCGTAAAAGTTTTTAAGAGTATCCGTACGAATTCGATACAGTTCGCATCAATTCGGTACGAATTCGCAAAATAAGGGTAAAACGCGAATTGTTGCATCATTTTTACGCTTAAAAATTGCGATTCGTCAATTCGTCTTTAGACACTTTGTCCACACATCTCAATTCTATGTGATAGATTGAACGGATGTTCATTTTTTCAACTGACAGGATACGAAATACGGTATCAGTTGAAAAAAGTATCTCTGTTTCACTTTCATGCTGACTATATTGTTCATATAGTTCAAATGTCACAAAATGGTTTTGTACATTTTGCTATATCGATCTCCATTTCATAAAACACATTCACTATGACTAAAATCCGATTTTGGTTGAGGATTCATTTCCAAAAATCCTTTAGATGAATTCGACAAAAACAACTCAATATTAGCATCAACAGATGTTGACATAAAACAATCAAATGATAAATAACCACCGATACGTTTTCTAAAAACCGTGATTAAAACTAGCACCTCAAAAAACCAGTTTCACCCGCCCCCCTCCCCTCCCCTGTAAAAACTTTCGCATTCAAACTTTTCCCCCCTTAGATGAGCTTTATTTAGAAATCATTTGTATGCTCTCGCAGGGCACAAAAAGTAGATTGTTAACTCCTTTTCGTAGTAGGCAACGTCGTTACATCAGCAGCTTAAACAGAAGGAAAAGTCTGAACAGAATCGCCTGATTTTTAGATGTCAAGACGCTAGCCTGGTCCAATTTACACAAACGCGTTTTAAAAGTAACTGATTCTTGGTAAGAATCCAATACTTTTTAATACCAATACTTTTTAAATAATTGTATTCATTGAGTGTTAAATGAATTCGATGGTTATGTTCTTTAGCTCGTCGACGTCCTGGTTTTAAACGTGTTGCTAGAAATTGCTGTAATGAAAGACGTAAACGTATCCGTAGACGATCTTGCAATCGCGTACTTGATGTTGTGGTAAACGGATCTGATTGATTATTATCATTATAGCTTGATATTAGTTGACCATGATGAAGCTTCAAGAAATAACCGGGCGGCAATTTTCTTTCACGTAAACATCGCAAATCCTATAAGAAAATCAGTGACAATACAACATATTATCCTTCAGTGAACACAAAATGAGTTCTTTTGGGCGCTTCATATTTCTGCGACTGTTTGGCAAACATACGGCAAGCCTCCGTTGACATTAACACCGTAGACATCTCATCTTGTAGACAAATCCCATTACGTTCACCGGTTACGAAATTGCTGACAAAATCAAATCGTAAAAAACGTCAGATTTTTATAGATGAATCATATCTGATAACTTACCATGGAACATAAATATATCTGATCTCAATAACAGAAGAGCTTTTTAAACGACCTTGTCAGGAAGAGAATAACTGAATGATTTTTTTTGTACAGTTTTCGTTATTATATGAGAATTTAAGAAAGTGATGTTCTATTAATTGATAAACAGTTATGTATAATCAATTAGGTTAAAAATATACAGAAACGATGATATGGGGAGAACATTATTTGTCAATGCATCCATTTGTGATAGCCGATATCGTGCTACTCATTCGCCGATTGTTATCGATTTACAGAAATGAAGATGAACGGGTTTTTGTACAATATATAAGAAGTTGTTGAAATATGTAAGAAGTTATTTTCTTCGTAAACCGAAAATATATGTGACCCAACTTCATATTTTGTCAATCGGGTAGCATTTTGTGTGTGTGTTAACACACATTGGCGTGGCAATTGCCACACCAATCAAGCGTCAAAGTAAGTCGATTTGTATTCCTTAAGTTAATGTAATAGTATATAAATATCATCTGCGAGAGATCGACTTCGTCAATTCTATAAGTCACAGGCATTCATTTGTATTTAGGAACGATCGCTCTGAAATCTTTAGTGCTCTTTTCAACATTAGATGATCATAATGGCCTTCTTCCTTTTAGAAAACATACAGGTATCTACAAAGAATCTGATGTCGAATGTTCACATTAGTCCATCCTCGATTCATACTCTAATTGAAATCGATTTTAGCAAACAGAGTTTAATGGTATCTCGCGGTTATATCCGAATAGTTAAAATAGAGCGAAATAGTTTTCAAGTAAAATAATACGCGTTCTATGTTGAATCACTAATTCGAAACTTATTTAATGAATAAAATACGGAGCACATAGAGTTGAATTAGTTTCAATTGATTGCACACTCATCGATGGTGCCACTAAATAGACTGAGGGCATCGATGAGTCCTGCAGAGCAATTTTCTAAGGCCGAGAGGCTAATGTCACATAACTAAGTGTTTTCCTGTGGCCACGAACGTCGTGACTGACGATAGAGATGTCACCAGAACGTTATTCACAAAGAGACAAAGACTATTCGCTTATCCTGTTTTCTTTCGTTTTTCATGCCGGAATGCGATGGAATGTCCTTTTCAACTGTTGAGAGGTCCTCTTTTTCCTTTATTCTTTCCGAAGCGAAAGATGTGTGTGAAGAAGGAGACAGTTGCAAAAACAAACGAAAAGAAGCGAGCAAAATCACGATCACAAATGATGCACAACGAAAAAAAATCATGACAATAATAATTTCTACAAATATAGTTATTATATACACTTTGTCTCGGCCACCTTGGTTATGCACACGTTATTTCAAAGTATATATCTCTACCATTTTAGTCACCATCTTCGTGAGCATGGCCCGAGCACTGCGTATTTTCAGTGGTTAGAGACAGAAGTTGACGAACTTGGTCAAGAATTTGGAAAAGTCGCTCAACTGATAGCAATAAGCTGAAGAACGAAACTGATCTTGATCATCATCAGCCATGACAAGTTTCACGAGAAACAGAACAAACTAATCCAGTTTTGAAAGTAGAGGGCGTTGAGAGTCATCATTGTGAGATAACCGTGTACCGTTGAAGGCAAGATTGTTTGCTAAATGTCAGACAGGATAAAGTGATTGATCAGTGACAAGAAAGACTTCGATTTGTTCCATTTCTTGTGAATATATTTTATTCTAATTATCGTGCTTCTGTACGAATACCAACTAGATCGTTTTTTGTATTTAGCTTTAGAAGACGAAGCTCTCTGCAGTGGTTGTCATTAAGCGAAAGTTCTTTTACTAAATATTAAATAAAGTTCTGAATTGCACAACGCAACTCTAGATATTCAATTCCGCGAAAAAACTGCTTCAACACTATTTCTCACGTGTTCTATGACAAGGTAAAGCGTAGTTTATTGAATTACTCGAAACATTTTTTCTCCACTTGTCATGAAAACATTTGCTTCAATATGGGGGAGAACACAAGACGAAAATATTCTGACTACACTATTCATGAAGTTGTGCAAGTCCACTTTTTCTCGTCGTCGGCGAACAACAGAGAAGCTATTTGTCAAAGGAGAAGAAGAACGGTACACAGGTAACGTGAGAACAACTTCCTGTTCGTGTGTCACTTTTCATCTGCTGATGAAGAACAGCTATTTCTACTAACAATGACTTTTACTGCTACACTCTAACAAAGGTGTATCACTAAATCCTACAGATTTTGCATTCGCATGTGACTCTTGTTCACGCTGATTGTTTGTTCTCTTTCTCTCGTCTTTTTCTGAATAGATATGAATAGCTTTGTCCGTGTGTTGGTAATCAGTCAGTTGATCCACATCTCTTTCTCTCCTGTTACAACATTTTCTGAGACTTCTGGGGCGCAGTTGTTTTATTTGCCTTTCTACATCCACTAACCACTGTCACAACAGTGAAACAATTTTCTATTCACTTTTATTTCAAATCTCTTCAGATCATTACAAACGCCCAAAATATTTAATTGAACATCGATTGGTAAAATTGATTATGTCATCTGCAAGTGCACCACAAGATTCCTTAACGGACGACGCTCAAAAGATTAGTGTTGAAACAGAACAAATCATTGACAAAGTAGCGGAACTGATACTCAATTGTGATGCCATTTTGTTTACTAGTGGTGCTGGAATGGGCGTAGGCAGTGGTCTTGGCACCTTTCGAGGAATTGCAGCTGGTGTGTGGCCACCTTTACAACAACATCCAGAACTGGATTTTACTGACATGAGCAATCCAAGTTGGTTTCACCAGGCACAAGGAAATAGTAGCAAACATGATACGGCCAATTTCGGTTATGCATTTTGGGCGTTTCGATACGACGCTTACACATCAGCTGCTCCTCATCACGGCTATCTTATTGCCAAACAATGGAGCGAATTAAGTCATATCAAATCTGCATTCAGTTTTACAAGTAATATCGATGGACATTGGATAAAGTCGGGCTGGAAGGAATCGTTGGTTCTTGAATGCCACGGTTCGATCGATTATATGCAATGTGTTAAGAATTGTAATGCCCGCATATGGCCTACAAACAATGCATTGAAGCTGACTGTGGACCCGAAGACAAATTGTGTCACTGATCCTTTACCATTATGTCCTGATTGTCATAAACTAGCAAGACCAAATGTACTGATGTTTGGTGATTGGGAATATATAGACAATCGATTAAAAAAACAACAAGGTCATTACGACCAATTTAAATCAGGTCTTGCAGCGGCAAAGTCCAAATTGTTAATTATTGAATTAGGAGCCGGTACGGCCGTTCCTACAGTCAGATTCGAGAGTGAACGTACATTCGTTGATCCACGATGGGCAGCTCATTTCATTCGTATCAATCCATTCGCAGAACATGTGACTATCGATGCACATTCCAGAAATAAAAGTAAAGGACAAGCCCTTGAATTATCCTTAGATGCATTAACAGCATTGACATTGATTGATAAAGCATTGAAAAAGAAACAAAAACAATAGCCATAGCCAAATCACTTGGTTGACGTACGATTCCACGAATATAATACATTTGTGTTTTTACTTCGCTTTGCTTTTCTTTTTTCTTATTGATTCATTATATCTTGGATACAATCGGTGTTCTCCCTGAAACATGATAATGGAAGTTCTGTTATTTTTTTTAAATAAAATGAGTCCTTCCAGAATTTGATAACTTTAGACTTGTCGCACATGTGTACATCCATGGAAATAGGACTGTGTAATAAAATGATGGAATTGCTTCTAGGTTTGCGGACTCAGTGATGGCTTAGACTTTAATCTGCACAGTCCTCGAATTTCTACTTGGATGATTTAGCTCGATCAGTTCACTTCTTAGAACCATATCTTTTGCTGAAAAGAAGACATACAACTTGTGATCATATTTCGTGATGAATGATCGACATTTTTTGATACCTCGAATTTTACTTTCCAAGTCAATGAACATCTCGTCCATCTCAACTAGAAGTCGTTTACACAAGCACATGTTCATTATCAGTTCTTCCTGCCAAAATATACATCGATTTCTAACAATAGCATAGTTCTCCATCTGAATGACGCCTAAGCATTTTAATTAGCTTTTGCAGTTGTAAAATAGTTTCGGGTAATATTGTTTTTCGAAAACATTAGAAATGAAACGCAACAGGACAACGATAGAAAATGCATGCTCTTCTGATCATTATGGGATTACTCTAGTGGTTTTAGTTGATTTTCAATGATTAGTAGAATGAAATACATGCGATAAAAAATCTGAAAATTGATAAAGATTTGCAGCCAAAATGATAGATCTCCAGTGCAATCGATTTCAATTGCTTCTAGTATATATCCAAGAAAAATACAAGAATCCTAATTTTATGATTTTTAATGTAAAAGAATTTGATCGATTAAAAATGATACGTATAAGCGATTTTTAATATAGTAATTTTGCACAAATTTTACAGGGAGTATCAGGATGAACGTTTTTCAACTTTTTCCCACATGTTGTGTCTGGCACGAGTAGTTGACGGCCAGTCTGACATAATTTGTCTACCGCTCCATTCGGTATGTAAGTATGTGTTATCGAAAAAACGACAAATAGACACAATGTCGTCAGGTGGTATTGGGTTTGTTTGTTCAAGAATACGAACTATACCACTAAAAATTATAAAATTGGATTTGTCTATCCATTTCAAAATATTATTGACCCATGGCTATTTTTTGAATAATTGGAGAGATAAAGCTCTGCGATTTTCGCCATTCGATTGCCAAAACTTTAAAACATCTTTTCATAAGCAAAAACTCTTGAAATTATTTTTCAAAAACCAGTTTTCTACAAGGTCTCTGAAAAGCCATTTCATAATACGAAAACTGAACATAACAATGTATTAGCTTTTTACATAGATTGTTAGCCCAAAGTCTCCTCTTCGAAACCGAAACTAAGCGACCGCTTAACTATTCGTTATTTGGGCGTGGCATCAGATTTTCTCGGAGTCTCAAAATTGGTATTCCTTTAGGCATGGTAATCTCAAAAATGAACGGAGACATAGATAATGGACCACGCTAAACTTCACGGCAACGTTTGTTTTTCGAAAAGCTCCACAAGCCTAGTAAAAACCTTTACGAGATGGGATATGCCATTTTGTGAAAACTTTCAGGACTTGTCCGTTTTCCGAAGGGAAAGGAAGTTTGAAGTATAAAGCAGTTTATGTACGATGATTTTTGTGGTTTTCAGAGGGCTTTTTGTCAGTAGCTGTAAACTTTCGAGGTGAAATTGTGACTGATCAAATTTCAATATAAATTTGGTGTTTGCAGCTGCTGAATCGATTAGAAACAGACAGTGCATTATTGCCTTTCCCTTCGGAAAAAGCTAATACATTGTTATGTTCAGTTTTCGTATTATGAAATGGCTTTTCAGAGACCTTGTAGAAAACTGGTTTTTGAAAAATAATTTCAAGAGTTTTTGCTTATGAAAAGATGTTTTAAAGTTTTGGCGACCGAATGGCGAAAATCGCAGAGCTTTATCTCTCCAATTATTCAAGAAATAGCTATGGGCCAGTACTATTATGAAATGGATAGCACTTACTTAAAACAACATATGCCTCTTGCTCTGCTATTAATTCTGTGCTAATTTCCGTTACTGTGCTCGTTACAGACGTTTAATGGTTCGGTTGTTATTGTTAAACTCTGAATATAATATACATCCAATAGTATAAAATAACAAATGGTTCGTACCATAATCTTTCTGTAATGTGAACACTTTTGTATACTTATTTTCGTAAATCCAACGAGTGGCGTGGAAATAATTGCGCACTTTTCTGTGTGCTTTTTCTCCAAGTAAAATTTTGTCTAGAAGATCTTTTTGTCAAAAGATAGAAAATTTCATGCTCTACAAAATCCTCTATACTGGATATTCACATGTTGCTTCATTATTTGAAAAAATAACGCAGAGTAAGGACAGGTAAAAAGAATAACTGCAACGAAAGAAAAGGTCGCATTTTTTTTATACTCGACCTAAATGATTATTTATTTATGTTTCTATTAGGAATTCCATTCATTCCGTTTTTTAATAAATTAATCAAGAATACTTCTTCTATCATTATTTTACGATTGAATTAATAGGAATATATTTTGACGGGAAGTATGGATTTACATTTGTGAAAAAGAAAAGGAGAAAAGGTATGAAGTATTACACTTTCTATAGAAAGATATTAGTAAAAAGATTTGTATTTATTTAAAAAATTGTATAGAAGTTTAAAATCAAGTGAATAATGACTGAATCATATATAATGCAAAGAATTATTTTTGTTAAATGTGCATAAAGAAAATGCATAAAGAAAAATGTGGTAATAAAAATACCAAAAAACATTTTCTGCTGTGATTTGAAGCAAAATCGTTGTAAACATAGGTGAGGGCTAGTTTAAACCGATTCACTCATCCCTTGTCGTTTAGGAACCACTGCACAGTGGGCAACAACGTGGACATTAGGTGAACTTCACCTAATATCCACGTTGTTGCCCACTGTGAAAGTGAGCTTTTTCGAGATTTGAATAGCAACTTATACACTTTGACTAACGCACAGTTTTTTGGTAAAAGAAATTTTTGTTCCAGCTTCTAAATTCATTGGAAAAGGATTAGTGACAAAAAAGGTCAAATTTTAGCACCTTTAGAGAAAAACATTACTTTTTTGTGAAACGTAAAACCAGTTGCACAATAGATCATAATAAATCATATATATTCTGAAACTAGACCTTTTACACTATCGATTTATAAAAAAAATTTTGTTCTGTGACTTTTCGTTCGCAAAAAAGAATAATTCTTTTTACGCTACACTTTTTTCAAAAAGACGTCTTCAGTAAAGTCGACCACGACTTTTTTCCACCAATCCGATCTTGACAAAATTTTCAGAGAATGTTGTTCTATATCTTAGACATATACTCAGTTAGCGCAAAGATGCTTCTCGACTGACATACAGGTTTTCTAAAACATCTTGGTTTTTCTGGTTAAATCCATTTTTCTCACACCAGAAGCACTTTCATTAAAAATTAATGATATATTTAGAATCAGCGCATCGAACTGCATCTAATGATATGTCAGTTGTATGTTTTTACGCGCAAAAGATGAATTCGATTTAATGAATTGCAGATTTGCAGCATTCCCGTAGCAACGAACAAAAGTGTCATCCAACTTCTTTTGGAGAAACATGTCGATCCGTATATAATAGCTGCTTTATTATCTAGCTTCCATCTATCATTGGCTCTTACGTTCGAGTCAGAGGATGAGAATAACAGTATACCATTTTTAGATGTACAAATAACTCGTTCAAGCCCAGGCTTTAGCACAAAAGTTTATAGAAAATCTACCTTTACTAGTCTCCTCACTCGATGAGACTCGTATGTACCTGATATATATAAACGTAATGCTATAGGGACAATGGTGTACAGAGCCATTCGCATATGTTCGTCATACAAGTTGCTTGATGAGGAATTTGAGAAAATTAGGGAAATTGCTGGTCACAACGGTTCCCTAGTGAATGTACTTGCAACCAAGTTCTTAAGAACTTGAAGTATGTACCCAAGGACTTGAACAAGTTCTTAAGAAGTCTTGTACTTTCTGAGTACTTTCAAGGACTTGAGCAAGTCCTTATCAAGTACAATCAGTTTGCCCCCGTGAAACTTCTTATACCCAAGATCTTGACTTCTTGAATTTTTTCAGTAAGATCTTGAAGCAAGATCTTGGCGAGAAAACATAAGAAATTCAAGATATTCCAAGAACCCAAGATCTTGAATCATCTTGGCTTACTCCACTCAAGATCTTGATAATTCTTGAATCACCGTTTTGTTTCACACTCTTGATTGTATATGGATGCAAATTTACATACTTAGAATAACTTCACTTTTGTTTTGTTTTTTGAGCATATTCATTCGAGGAAGAGCGTACGATCGTATGCGATCGTATGACTGACGACTATGGCTGTTATATAAAAAAGGAAAATTTAATAAAAGCCTTTCACTCAAGATCTTACAACATAAGCAGTCATGGACTTAGAATGCACTTGACCCAAGTACTTGACCTAAGTACTTGGTTCAAGTAAACTACTTGTCAAGTATCCAAGTCCTTGAACTCGCAACCAAGTTCTTGTGACATTCCTTGTACCAAGTTCTTGTGACATTCCTTGTACCAAGTTCTTATCCAAGTCCTTAGTTACAAGTACATTCACTAGGGTTATCCCAATAGGTACGTAGATAAAATAATTTGTGAAAAATCGTAAGTGGAAAAGTGTCTAAAATGAAAAATTCTTCTGGTAACACTAGTTGCTCTTCACAACGAGTAACAGAGTCACATTGTGTTACCCGATCACAAACAGGCTGTTTACTTAGACTTCGGACAACCTCAACCCTCGAACTAAGTATAATTGAGGAAACTGTTGAGCAACTCTGCTGTATAAAAGAAAAATAATAACAAAAGAAAATATAACTCAATTTATGTTGCAAAATCAGCTATCTTGAATT